AATCGGTAAGAACCTTGCTGCATGTACACTATGGTGTACACTTTGCCATGAGACCCTGTTGGATATTTTAAATTTCAAATCATTTTTCCATCCAATTGAAGCATGAAAATAGTGCAAGTGTCAAACGATCTGTCAAAAATCAGTGTACAAATAACAAAGTTAAATCGGTAAGAACCTTGCTACATGTACACTATGGTGTATACTTTCGTTTACACTTTGCCATGTGACATTAACCTGTTGAACAATTTAAATTTCAAGCAATTTTCCCATCGAATTGACACTTGACAAAAATAGAAGTGTCAAACAGCGTGTCAAAAATCAGTGTACAAATAACAAAGTTCAATCGACAAGGACCTTGCTACGTGTACACTATCGTGTACCCTTTAGTTTACACATTGCCACGTGACATTACCCTATTGTATAGTTTAAATTCCAAATAGTTTTCCCATCCAATTGACACTTGACAACAATGTAAGCATCATACAACGTGTCAAAAACCAGTAGACAAATAGCAATGTTCAATCGGTTTGAACCTTGCAACATATACACTTTAGTTTACACTTTACCACGTGACATTACCCTGTTGGACAGTTTAAATTTCAAACAATTTTCGCATCCAATAGACCCTTGACAATAATGTAAGCGTCAAACAACGTGTCAAAAATTAGTGTACAAATAGCAAAGTTCAGTCGGCAAGAACCTTGCTACATATACACTATAGTGTACACTTTAGTTTACACTTTGCCACGAGACATTACCTTGTTGGAAAGTTTAAATTTCAAATAGTTTTCCCATCCAATGGACACTTGAAAACAATGCAAGTGTTAACCAACGTGTCAAAAATTAGCGTACAAATAGCAAAGTTCAATCGGTAATAACCTTGCTACATGTACACTATGGTGTAATATTTTGTTTAGACTTTGCCACGTGATACTAACCTGTTGGATAGTTTAAATTTCAAACAATTTTCCCGTCGAATTGACACTTGACAACAATGCAAGTGTCAAACAGCGTGTCGAAAATTAGTGTACAAATAGCAAAGTTCAATCGGTAAGGACCTTGCTACATGTACACTTTAGTTTACACTTTACCACATGACATTACCATGTTGGACAGTTTCAATTTCAAACAGTTTTCCCATCCAATTCACACTTGACAACAATGCAAGTGTCAAACAACGTGTCAAATATCAGTGTACTAATAGCAAAGTTCAATATGTAAGAGACTTGCTGCATGTACACTATGGTGTACACTTTAGTTGACACTTTGTCACGTGACATTACCCAATTAGAGAGTTTAAATTTCAAACAGCTTTCCCATCCAATTGACACTTGAAAACAATGCAAGTGTCAATCAACGTGTCAAAAATCAGTATACAAATAACAAAGTTCAATCGGTAAGGACCTTGCTACATGTACACTTTAGTTTACACTTTGTTACGTGACATTACCCAATTAGAGAGTTTAAATTTCAAACAGCTTTCCCATCCAATTGACACTTGAAAACAATGCAAGTGTCAAATAAAATGTCAAGAATCAGTGCACAAATAGAAAAGTTAAATTGGAAAGAACTTTGCTACATGTGCACTATGGTGTACACTTTCGTTTACACTTTGTCACCTGACATTGACCTGTTGGCCAGTTTAAATTTCAAACAATTTTCCCATCGAATTGACACTTGACGAAAATGCAAGTGTCAAACGACGTGTCGAAAATTAGTGTACAAATAGGAAAATTCAATCGGCAAGGACCTTGCTACATGTACACTTTAGTTTACACTTTGTTACGTGACATTACCCTGTTGGACAGTTTAAATTTCAAACAGCTTTCCCATCCATTTGACACTTGACAACAATGCAAGCGTCAAACAACGTGTCAAAAATCAGTATACAAATAGCAACGTTCAATCGGTATGAACCTTGCAACATGTACAATTTAGTATACACTTTACCACATGACATTACCCTATTGGACAGTTTAAATTTCAAATAGTTTCCCCATCCAATTGACACTTGACAACAATGCAAGTGTCAAACAACATGTCAGAGATCAGTGTACAAATAGCAAATTTCTATCGGCAAGAACTTGCTACATCTACACTATGGTGTACACTTTAGTTTACACTTTGCCACGAGAAATTACCTTGTTGGACAGTTTTTCCATCCAATTGAAACCTGAAAACAATGCAAGTATCAAACTACGTGTCAAAAATCAGTGTACAAATAGTAAAGTTCAATCGGTAAGAACCTCGCTACATGTACACTATGGTGTACACTTTTGTTTACACTTTACCACGTGACATTAACCTGGTGGACAGTTTAAATTTCAAGCAGTTTTTCCATCCAATTGACAGTTGACAACAATGCAAATGTCAAACAACGTGTCAAAAATCGGTGTACAAGTAGCAACGAGAAATTACCCTGTTGGATAGTTTTTCCAATCCAATTGAAACCTGAAAACAATGCAAGTGTCAAACAACGTGTCAAAAATCAGTGTACAAATAGCAAAGTTCAATCGGTAAGAACCTCGCTACATGTACACTATGGTGTACACTTTTGTTTACACTTTGCCTCGTGACATTAACCTGGTGGACAGTTTAAATTTCAAGCAGTTTTTCCATCCAATTGACAGTAGACAACAATGCAAATGTCAAACAACGTGTCAAAAACCAGTGTACAAATAGCAATGTTTAATCAGTATGAACCTTTCAACATGTACACTTTAATTTACACTTTACCACGTGGCATTACCCTGTTGGATAGTTTAAATATCAAACAATTTTCCCATCCAATTAACACTTGACAATAATGCAAAAGTCAAACAACATTTCAAATATCAGTGTACAAATAGCAAAGTTCAATCGGTAAGAACATTGCTACATGTACACTATTGTGTATGCTTTGGTTTATACTTTCCCACGTGACATTATCCTGTTGTACAATTTAAATTTCAGATAGTTTTCCCATCCAATTAGACTTGAAAACAATGCAAGTGTCAAACAACGTGTCAAAAATCAGTGTACAAATAACAAAGTTCAATCGGTAAGAAACTTGCTACATGTACACTATGGTGTACACTTTTATTTACACTTTACCACATGACATTAAACTGTTGAACAGTTTAAATTTCAAACAATTTTCCCATCGAATTGACACTTGACAACAATGCAAGTGTCAAACAGCGTGTCAAAAATCAGTGTACAAATAGCAAAGTTCAATCGGTAAGGACCTTGCTACATGTACACTATGGCGTACACTTTTATTTACACTTTACCACATGACATTAAACTGTTGAACAGTTTAAATTTCAAACAATTTTCCCATCGACTTGACACTTGACAACAATGCAAGGGTCAAACAGCGTGTCAAAAATCAGTGTACAAATAGCAAAGTTCAATTTGTATGAAGCTTGCAACATGTAAACTTTTGTTTACGATTTACCACGTGACATTACCCTGTTGGACAATTTAAAATTCAAGCAGTTTTACCATCCAGTTGACACTTGACGACAATGCATGTGTCAAACAACGTGCCTAAAATCAGTGTATAAATAGCAAAGTTCAATCAGTAAGAACCTTGCTACATGTACACTTTAGCTTACACTTTGCCACGTGACATTACCCTGTTGCACAGTTTAAATTTCGAATAGTTTTCCAATCCAATTGACACTTCAAAACAATGCAAGTGTCAAACAACGTGTCAAAAATCAGTGTACAAATAGTAAAGTTCAATCGGTAAGAACCTCGCAACATGTACACTACGGTGTACACTTTTGCTTACAATTTCTCACGTGACATTAAACTGTTGGACAGTTTAAATTTCAAGCAATTTTCCCATCGAATTGACATTTGACAACAATGCAAGTGTCAAACAGTGTGTCAAAAATTAGTGTACAGATAGCAAAGTTCAATCGGTAAGGACCTTGCTACATGTACACTATGGTGTACACATTAGTTTACACTTTGCCACGAGACATTACCCTGTTGGATAGTTTAAATTTCAAATAGTTTTCCTATCTAATTGACACCCGACAACATTGCAAGTGCTAAACAACGTGTAAAAAATCAGTGTACAAATAGCAAAGTTCAATCGGTAAGGACCTTGCTATATGTACACTACGGTGTACACTTTAGTTTACACTTTGCCACGTGACATTACCCTGTATGATTGTTTAAATTTCAAACAGTTTTCCCCTCCAATTGACAATTGACAACAATGCAAGTGTCAAACAAAGTGTCAAAAATCAGTGTACAAATAGCAAAGTTCAATCGATAAGGACCTGGCTACATGTACACTATAGTGTACACTTAGTTTACACTTTGCCACGTGACATTACGCTGTTGGATAGTTTAAATTTCAAACAGTTTTCCCATCAAATGGACACTCGACAATGATGCAAGTGGCAAACAACGTGTAAAAAACTAGTATACAGATAGCAAAGTTCAATTGGTATGAACCTTGCAACATGTACACTTTAGTTTACAGTTTACCACGTGATATTACCCTGTTGGACAGTTTAAATTTTAAACAGTTTTCCCATCCAATTGACACTTGATAATAATGCAAGTGTCAAACAACGTGTCAAAAATTAGTGTAAAAATAGCAAAGTTCAATCAATAAGAAACTTGCTACACGTACATTAAGGTGCACACTTTAGTTTACACTTTGCCACGTGACATTACCCTATTATAGAGTTTAAATTTCAAACAGTTTTCTATCCAATTGATGCTTGACAAAAATGCAAGTGTCAAACAACTTGTCAAAAATTAGTGTACAAATAGTAAAGTTCAATCGGTAAGGAACTTGATATATGTTTCTCCATTTCTTGCAATTGCTTCCGCTGATTGGATCTTTTTGCAAGTGTCAACTTTTCCTTTTTCCGTGGCTTTCTTTTCTTGATGGATGTTGAAAGTTACTTGCTCTTCATTAACTCGTAGTATCAACTTTCCTTCTTACACATCAATCAATGCTCTTCCAGTAGTGAGGAAAGGTCAACCAAGAATCAATGGTACTTTCTCATCCTCCTCATGTCCAATACCACAAAGTCCACCAAAAAGATGAACTTATCAACCTTCACCAACACATCTTCAATAATGCCTTTGGGATATGTGATCGATCTGTTCGCCAGTTGCAAGGTAAGGATTGCTGGATTCACTTTTCCAAGACCCAGCTTTTTGGACACTGATAAGGGTATCAAGTTTATGCTAGCTCCAAGGTCACATAGTGCCCTATCAAATGTGATACCACCAAAATTGCACCGGATGTTGAAGCTGCCCAGATCTTTCGATTTGTGAGGGAGCTTCTTCTGAAGTATGGCACTACACTCCTCTATTAGCTTAACAGTCTCAAATTCCTCCAACTTTCTCTTCTTTGATATCACTTCCTTTAAGAACTTGGCATAGTTAGGCATTTGGGCCAAGGTTTCTACAAAGGGAATGTTGATGTGGATTTTCTTGAAGACCTCCAGAAACTTTTCAAATTTTTCATCAAACTCCTTCTTCAAATACCTCTGCGGGAATGGTAGTGGGGGCTTTAAGATAGGTGGGTTTTCTGGAAATGAAATTGAGTAAGGCTTATAAATCTTCTTTGTTGCCTCTGCCTCAGTTTTCTGCCCTTCAGTCTGCTTTTCCCTTGCAAGAATGGGATCCGATGTAGGTACCTAACCTCTCTAAGCTTGCGTTCTTCAACCGATTTACCACTTCGTAGGGCGATAGCATTGCAGTGTTCCTGTGGGTTAACCTCTGTGTCACTGGGAATTGTTCTTTTTGTTGAGACTGTATTGCAGTTGCTATTTGACTAATCTGTACCTCCGAATTCTTCACTGTAGCCCCCAAGTTGGTCATATGTGTCTCAATGCTGTCAACTTGTAACGCCTCGAGCCCTAGTGGATTGGAATGCTACTTACTTTACTTAGCTTAACCGGTGGTTTCGTAACAAGTGTATACATTTTGGCAGAAGCTTACATCTTTGGATAATAATTTAAATAACAATACATCAAATACTTTAAACAAAAACACTAAATCATTTTTCAAACAACAAAATGTAATTTATTTGAAGAAAACATAACTTGTTCTCACATTCTGCGTTATTCAAAACTTTAAAGAAATAACATTGGAAAATATTTCATAAAAATAAATCCAAATCACTTATTTACCGGATTTCCGTGGGCTCTTTGCATCACCTTCCATCTTCCCCTCCATCCATGCTCGAGGTAGAATTCCTTCAATCAGTAGAGATGGGATTAAACCCGTGAGTTGAAAAACTCAATAGGTGTCATAGGTGCATTTGTGATCAAACTATACATTTCAAAACATTAACTTTATAACTTTTCAAACATGTCGTACCCGGAGGCACCATTTGACATGAACAGATATTCCGTACCCAAGGGCACCATTTGACATACGAACATTTCTTCACAATAGAGGGGTATGCCGAGTACCATTTGACATACAACCATTAACATAGAGGGATATGCTGTACCGGAGTACCATTTGATATACAAATATTAACATGAATCGAAACTTATAACTTAACACGATTAAACACATTGCACCTCTACCTACCTTGATTGATGCTTTTGAAACTTTCAAAACTTGGATTGAATCCTTCGATGAAATTTGGACTTTGAAAGAAATGCACTCCTTGGATGTTTGAAAACCGCTGAGAATTGATGCTTGAAAATACTTCTTAAACTTCTAGGAAAAATAGTTTTCCTCCCTCTCTTTTTCTGTCTTGGAAACTCTTTCTTTAGTATGTAAAAGCTCTTGCTTTTGGTGTGTGAAAAAATAAGTGAAATTAGGTCTCTATTTATAGGTAAATATTCCATAACTTAAAGCAAATGAAGGGTCAAATTTCATTTAAGAGAGAAAACATGGGTGCCATTTAAGTTTGAGGTTAAATACTTCAATTTAGAGGGCCTTTTATTGCCAAAAACGTGGGTGGCCCTTTGAGAAAATAATTGATGAAAATAAATATTTAAATTCTAGAGAAAAACGAGAATTTTCATTTTAGACAGTTTCGGTCGATCGGTTGCAGTCCGGTTGACACTGCATAGCTTTCAGTATTTCTATCATAACTTCTTCTCCTGATATCCAATTGAGGTAATTCAAAGTGCATTGGAAAGATAACGCAAAGAGCTACAATTTTTATTTACATATCATTTTCCAAATCGAATGTTTCCTATGTCTAAAATGAGTCTCAAATGAGACTAAAAATCTGAAGTATACTTTAGTCATCCAATATTCATATCTTAGTGCCACTAAGGTGTCTAGAATTATTTGGGGTTCTACATCCCCCAGACCTTAATTAAAATTTCATCCTCGAAATTTACCTTCTGATTGGGCGAATCGTGTTGGATACTTGTCTTTGGCTTCTTCTTCATTTTCCTTAGTGGCTTCTTCTACGCCGTGATGATTCCACTGTATCTTAACCAACTGAATCTCTTTATTCCTTAGTTTATGCACTTTTCGATCCAATATCTTGATCGGTAGTTCCTCGTACGACAAATCTTTCTGTACCTCCAAGGTTTGATAACTCACTACATGATTAGGATCATGTACATACTTCTTTATCATCGATATATGGAACACATTGTGCACTGTCGATAATTCAGGTGGCAAAGCTAGTCGGTAAGCCACATTTCTGACTCTATCAAGTATCTCAAAAGGTCCGATATACCGGGGTCGTAGCTTGCCTTTCTTTCCAAATCTAAGTACACCTTTCATCGGTGCTAATTTCAGAAACACTTTATCCCCAACTTGGAATTCTAAATCCTTCCTCCTTGTATCTGCATAGCTCTTTTGTTGATCTTGTGCTGCCTTTCTTCTTGTACGGATCTTACTGATTACCTCGACCGTCCTTTCAACTATTTCTGGTCCCAAAACTCTCTTCTCTCCGACTTCATCCCAATGAACAGGGGATCTACATCTTCTACCATAGAGAGCTTCGTATGGTGCCATTCCAATAGTTGCTTGGAAACTGTTATTATAAGTGAACTCTACTAGAGGTAAGTATGACTCCCAATGGACTGAGGGTGATATGTTGTACTAAAGTTCAGCTTTGTTCCCATAGCTCCTTGTAGACTTTTCCAAAATTTGGACATGAACCTTGGGTCTCTGTCAGACACAATGGATATAGGTACACCATGTAATCTCACAACCTCTTTAATATATAACTATGCCAATTGGTCAAAACTGAATGTCATTTTCACTGGAAGAAAATGAGCTGACTTCGTTAGTCGATCCACTACTACCCATATAGCATTATTTCCTCTTGCTCACTTCGGGAATCCAACCACAAAGTCCATCGTGATATTTTCCCATTTCCATTCAAGTATATCTAGTGGATTTAACAATCCAGCTGGTTTTTGGTGTTCTGTCTTAACCTGTTGACATACCATGCACTTCTACACGTACAGCGCTATACTTCTTTTCATATTTCTCCACCAAAATGTATCTCGAAGATCTCGATACATTTTCATACCACCGAGATGTGCGGTGTACGGGGTGGAATGAGCTTCTTTCAATATCTCATTTCTCAAGGCTTCATCCTTAGGTACGCAAATTCTTCCTCTAAATATCAGTGCCTGATCCTCAGCTATTCCAAAGTCCTTTTTCTTATCGATACCAACTTCATTCTTAATCTCCTGCAAAAATGAGTCTTTATTTTGTGCTTCTATAACTCGATCTCTAAGAGTAGGTCGAATTATTAAAGCTGCTAGACAAGCAGTGACTTGTCCTGTTATGGTAACCACTTCGATCTGCAACTTTTCCAAGTCCTTGACTAACTCCACTTGAGAGGTGGGTAGTGACGTCAATTGTCCCATTGATTTTCTACTTAGAGCGTCGGCCACAACATTAGCCTTACCCGGATGGTAGTGAATAGTGCAGTCATTATCGTTCACCAATCCCAACCGTCGTCTTTGTCGTATATTCAATTCCTTCTGTGTGAAGAAATACTTGAGACTTTTGTGATCTGTGTAGATATCACACTTCTATCCATACAAGTAGTGTCGCCATATCTTCAAAGCGTGTACTATCGCTACAAGTTCTAAATCATGCGTCGAGTAGTTCTGCTCATGTTTCTTCAATTGTCTTGAAGCATAGGCTATCACTTTTCCGTTCTGCATTAGTACACATCCCAATCCTTGCTTGGATGCGTCGTTGTATATAACAAACCCTTCCGTACCTTCAAGTATTGCTAATACAGGTGCTGATATCAACTTCTGCTTAAGTTCTTGGAAACTTTGTTCGCATTTTTCCGTCCATTAGAATTTTACTCCCTTCCTTGTAAGCTACGTCATTGGTCCAGCTATTTTGGAGAATCCTTCTATGAATCTCCTATAATATCCAGTCAATCCTAGAAAAGTCCGAACTTCGCCAGCATTTGTTGGTGCTTTCCACTTGGTTACTGCTTCTACTTTTGCTGGATCTACTTCAATCCCTTGGGCAGTAACTACATGTCCAAGAAATCTAACTCGTTCAAGCTAAAACTCGCACTTCTTGAATTCAACATACAGCTTCTCCTTTCATAATACCTCTAAGGCTATTCTCAAGTGCTCTTCATGTTGCTCCTTACTCTTGGAATATATCAGAATGGCATTGATGAAGTCTAAGACAAACTTATCCAAGCATTGATGAAACACTCGATTCATCAGGTCCATAAACACTGCAGGTGCATTGGTTAGCCCAAATGGCATCATCGTAAACTCGTCGTGTCCATATCGAGTTGTAAAAGCTGTCTTAGGTATATCCTTTGTCTCTACTTTCAGTTGATGGTATCCTGATCATAAGCCGATCTTGGAAAATACCTTAGCTCCTTTCAGTTGATCTAACAGATCCTCGATCCTCGGAGTGGGTACTTATTATTGATGGTTAATCGATTTATCTCCCTATAATCGATGCACATCCTTATGCTTCTATCTTTCTTCTTTACAAACAACACCGATGCACCCCATGGAGATACGCTTGGTCGTATAAAGCCCATATCTCGGAGTTCTTGCAACTGCTTCTTTAATTCTTGTAGTTCCTTTGGGGCCATTCGGTATGGGGCCTTAGATATTGGTGCCACCCCGAGAATTAGGTCTATGGTGAGTTTCACTTGTCTATCGGGTGGAATACTAGATAGATCTTCTGGAAACACATCTACGAATTTCCATGCTCCTGGTACATCTTCAACCCTTATTGTCTCTTGTTTCACTCCTGAGATACTTACTAGATATCCTTGACATGTTTCTTTTCTCAACATCTTCTTAGCTTGTAAAGCCGATACTAGTCGAATAAGGGGTTTCGTCTTCATTCCAAGGAATGAAAATGGTTCCTCTCTTGGTTTCTGAAATGATAGCTCCATTTCCTTACATCGGATGGTAGCGTAATTACAACCTAACCAATCCATGCCTAGTATTACATCAAAATCCTTCATTTCTATCATGTATAGGTTCGCTTCCATTGGTTTTCCCTCAACTTTGATACTTACTGACTTGGCTATTCTATCAGTATTCAAATGGTTGCTCGAAGGAATACTAACTTCTAATGTACCTTCCGACTTATCACAAGTAATACTAGATTTAGCCATAAAAGTTGTTGAAGCAAAGGAGTGTGTAGCTCTTGAATCAAACAATGCATAAGCAGGTGTATTGGCTATCAGTAGAGTACCTGCTATGACATTAGAGTTTTCCTCTACATCCTATTGAGTCAATGCAAAAACTCGTGCTTTCCCTTTCTGGTTCTGGTCGCTGTTATCATCCTTCTTTTGGGTATGTGTGGGACAATCCCTAATGATATGTCCTAGCTTGCCACATCGGAAATAGACATTTTTCCCTTGTAAGCACTCGCCACGATGTGTCCTTCCACACTTAGAACAGGGCGCAATAATCGGCACAATACTTTTGTTGGCATTGGCTCCGCCATTAGCTTTCTTGTTCTACCACTTACCTTTTCCCTTGTCCTAGCTATTCCATTTCCTCTTTCCCATGTTACCATTGTCCGTTTGATCGAACAGTTGACCATGTTGTTCGACGCTAGTCTTCTGGTACCAAATAGCATGAGCTCTTTCCAGCATTTCATGGTATGTGGTGAAGCGATGGGACATAAGTATCATGCTTATATCCGAGTTCAGCCCTTGTTCAAACCTTCATACCTTCTTATCCTCCGTATCCACCAGATGTGGAGCATACCTTGAAAGTTGATCA